GCGAAGAAGGTATGAAGAAACATTTCACAATTTTTATGTTGTATATGTACATTGTATATATTAAGTACACATCATGGTTTATCAACATTTTCTCCAATTTCTTTAAAAGAAGGTGTGTATTAACAAGAATGAAACTCATTTATGATTTAAGGTTCACATGTTTGATAAAGATCAAATTTAATTTAAATATGAACAATGTATTTAGAATACCTTGTTTGAAGAAAAAAATATGGAAAAAATATACCGGTACGTTAAAAAAAGAGAGATTTTTTTGGAATTTCAAGTATTTTGAACCCAAGTGACAAGACCACAAGATTTTTTTTTGTCTGATTAGAGTAGCTGCTAATAAATATTTTTCATGAACTACATGATTTTAAGTATAAATTATATATATATATACATATAATTATATGTTAATTCATGTAAGTATATATGTGTTTACTATTGTATATGATGCTTTTATCTTTCAGATCATAGAGACTGTAAGAGGAACATTCAGAAAACTTCAACGCAATTCATCTAGTTGTCATTTTACATATGTAATATTAATATATATACTTTTGTTAATAAAATGTTTAGTGTCGAAATTCTTTGATTTTTGTTGGTTTTTGAAAGCATATTAAAAAGTGGAAAGCACTTTGCATCTTAGATTATTGTACTTGTAATACAATGCAAAATATAACAAGAGGTCCAAGGCTACAATGCTCACCTGAGTAACTTTGGCCATGCTGTTCTTCACCAGGTATCCTCCCTTGCAATGGCACCGGTCTTCCCCCGATGGTTAATTTTTGAACAATTTAGATTCTACATTACACCTGGATGCTTCAATGTAAGTTTCAACTTTTCTGGCCCTGTGGTTCTTGAGAGGAAGATTTTTAAATATTTTGCCTATATATCTGTATATTACAATGTTAAACTTGGATTTCTTGTTGTGGCCCCTGAATCTTGATTCTTGTATCACTACTAGTCAAAAAGTTAACAAATAAGAACATCAAGATTTTATGCACCCGCATTGATTTATCCTTGGCGTATATTGAGGTGTACACTGTATATTGTTTTTGTCCTGTCTGTTCAGCTGTTTGTTGTCAACTTTAACCATGGCCATAACTTTTGTACCATGAGAGATAGAGACTTCATATTTGGTATGCTTACTTATCTAAATAAGCTTTTTTAAATGACATCAAGGTCAATGACCTTCATTGTGACCTATATGCTAAAAATAGTTTTTTCGAACTTTTGCCATAACTTTTTTGAACCATGAGAGAGACTTCATACTCCACTAATTAAGCCCTTTCAAATGAAATCAAGGTCATTGATGTTTGACCTTGACCTATATGCTAAGAGTGGATTATTTGAACTTTGTTGCCGCTGGGGGTATACTAGTAGTGTTTCACAAACACATCTTGTTTCCTTCAGATTTTCAACGAAATCGGTGTGAATAATAAATATGGTGTGGTGGTCAGCCGGTTCGATGGCCAGTGGCCAGATAGCTCAGTTGGTAGAGTACCTGACCAGAGTTTCAGGGGGTCTGGGTTCAAATCCCGGTCTGGTCCGCTGCATTTTCTCCTCTCCCGTTACATTTGGTGTCGTGCTGTGCCCTGGAATTGTCAGGTGAAAGACCTGCCAGGGATGAGCCTGGGTTTGGGTCTTTGGAGGACCAAAGACCTGTAAGGAGGGAGGAATGTGGCGGTCAGCCGGGTTCGATCGCTGGTGGCCAGATAGCTCAGTTGGTAGAGCACCTGACCGGAGTTTCAGGGGGCCCGGGTTCGAATCCCGGTCTGGTCCGCTGCATGCATTTTCTCCTCTCCCGTTACAATGGATTATGAAAATATTGATAGTGTTTTCCGTTGAGGTGATTTAAGCAAGAGTTATTCCCCATGACCACGATATTGTAAGTCTCTTCATTATTCAACCTCTTAGGCAAAACATGTTATAGGAAAAGGGTCTATAAATTCATGATATGGTACATGTGTTACTGAATGTTTATAATTGTGAATGTGCATTGTACATATTATTCAACTTATTTAAAATACTCAGGACACATCACTGTTAATATAGTAGCTGAACGTTGTTAAAATCATCATGTATACGTACATGTATTTGATAATATATTCAACTTGTTAAACTAAAATCTATCATGACGCCATTACTTTCAGCTTTATTTTTCCCGTAACTGACTGCTCTAATAGAATTATGTAGAAAATAAAGTATTTTCGTGGAATTCAATTTGCATGAAAAGTATTCCCGATACCTATGTTAAATTTAACGTTATTTTAAAGAAGAGGCCATGATCATACAAATTACCGTTTTCGGAAAGACTAGGCAATCAGGATACATTTTTTTTTGGTCTGATGTGGAAAAAAGCTCTCATAGTCATGACTGCTTTTCTAAATTTTTTATTGGAAATTACAATGAATTATTTTTTACGTGGCATGTAGTTTTTGCCCGGTCGATCCCTCCATTTGTCTGACTTAGTTTAAGTTTGTCCACAAAACCTAAACTTTACCCATTACTTTTGATTGTTTGGAATGATGACTTTCATATGAAATTTCATAATTGCGTTAGCAAAATACTTAGCAAAATTTTTAACCAACTTTAACCTTGGCCATACATTTTGAATAGTTGGTGCTAAGGATTACACGTTGCATCTGAAATTCTTACTGAAAAGACCTTTCTTTGAGAATAAATATTTTTAACCCTATGACCTTGACTTTGGAATTTTACTCACTTTTAATAAAGATATAAAATGAGCTAAACATAGTTTCACAGTTGATAAACAAGGTTTATCGACTGTAAACTATAGTTTACAAACCGTAAACTATAGTTAACAATTCGTTAACTATAGTTTTCATCTGTAAAACTATATTTAACGGTTGTTAACTATAGTTTACGAATGCTAATTTAAGTTTATCTGTCTTTAATAAAGTGTTAACATTAGATTTTGTTGATAAATGTAAACTATAATTTACAACCGTAAACTATAGTTAAGATTTGTTAATCATAGTTTCACAAATCGAAACTATATTTATCAGTTAACAGTTAACTATAGTTAAGAGTTGTTAATCATAGTTTCACAAATCATGAAACCATATTTATCAGTTAACAGTTAACTATAGTTAAGAGTTGTTAATCATAGTTTCACAAATCGAAACTATATTTATCAGTTAACAGTTATCTATAGTTAAGAGTTGTAACTATAGTTTACAAATCGTGAAACTGTATTTATCAGATAATCTATGCTTTGCAATCGCAAATGATCGTTTTCAGTGTTAAGTATACTTTACGGTTGTGAAACATAGATTATCGCGTTAACTAAGGTTTATAGATGTAAAATATAGATTAACGTTGTTAACTATAGTTTACAGCCCGTAAACTATAGTTCACAACCAATAAACATAGTTTATTAATTGTGAAACTATGATTAGCTCATTTTTGTGAATTTGGCGTGCCATATTTAGTATTCCATAAATCTGATTACTAATAATTGGTGCTAGGCCTTTCATATTATTTCAATGTCTATTTCGTGTGACAATACCTTCCCTTGGGCTCCATTAATTCTCACCATTTGTCCCTGACCTCAGGGTTTGACATGTTTCAAAAAACTTATAATCGATGCCGTAACTTTCCAACAGTTAGTGCTAGGGTTAATTTAAGTTTGTTATTTCACATTTATATTCCTTGAGCAGGCACGTAGCATCGTTTTTGAAAGTGAGAAAATTTAGCATCGTTTTTGAAAGTGAGAATTTTTTTTTTTACTTACCTAAAAAAAGTTGAAAAGCAAAAAAAAAAAAGAAAAAGAAAAAGGAAATTGCCCAAACTCGAAAATCCTATTTCGTGCGGGGGGGGGGGGGGGGGTTTAAAGGCCAACTTTTTTTCAGGGCCAACTTCCTTTAACTTCCAATTTTTTCCTATATTTCCTTCCTATGAATATACAATGGTGAACAGTGGGGGGGGGGGGGGGCAACCACCTTTTCGGTGGACATTTTCTTTAGTAAAGGTAATGTTGGGGAAAAAAGTGAGGAGGCCTGGCCCCCCTGTTGCTACGTGCCTGCTGACACAAGATCGTCAGGTAACATCCTTTTTTATCTTTTGTCTTTCACCTTGGAGTTGCTTTGCATTTGAGAAACTTTAACCTTTGTAAAGCTGCCTTACAGGTGTGTCAATGTTTAACAAACACATTTTGTTCAATATTAAAACATTCACAATGAATCTTCAAATCATTGAGTTGAAAAAAAAATAAATTATGACAACAGAGGATTTGATGTTTTGACTTGATGTATGATTTGAAAGAACATGTTTGAGGTTATCAAGTCAGAAACAAGTTCGAGGTCACTGGACAAAAAACTGTATATTAATTTCTTACTGTCTTTCTACACTGTATACTATTGTGAATCAGAGCCTGTGTTATGCCCTTGTCTCAAGTTCAAAATTGCTACGGATAAGTTGTTTTGACTGGATGTATGGTCAGAGAGAACAGGTGTGAATTTGTTAAGTCAGTTGAAATCCATACAGTATGCTCATAACCAGAGTGTGTCATGGGTTAATGCAAGGTCACGGTAATTATTTGGACACGTTCAGGATCACATTCCTTAATGTCTTTTTACTGGAGAAACATTGTAAGTTATACCACCGTACAAGATTGCTTATTACCTCGGTTTGACCTTGACTCAACATGCCCAAGGTCTTTTCTTCCTGTTCGCAGCTCCTATCCGTTGCTTCGTAACGAGCAGACTCTATATATAGTCTAGCATTCATCTCATGATTCAAATAATAGAAAAAGACACATTTTCTTTTGTTGTTTTTTTTTTTTCAATCAGTGAATGCTCAGATAGACCATAAAGTACATATGTGACCACCCCCACCCACCCCCTTTACCTAACATGAAACTCGGGAAAGTGAATTTTACCGTGTTTCGGTTTTTACACTTCGTGGCGATCGGAATATCCTGTATTTCGCAACCCCCTTTGATACAATAAACAATGCTTTGAGGTTTGAGTGCAGACGTAAAATCTTGTACTGTAAGTAAACAAATTATTCGTCTCTAAGCATGCTAAAATGCAAATTTGATTTAAACCGAATAATTCAGACAGAATTGCGGAATAACCACTTGAAATCATACATTTGTCTTTGATACACATCGAACAATGTGTATGTTCAGTCGTTTTAATTGTTTAGGTAGACAGCATTGGTTGTCACGTCGTGCAATCATTGGTCAGAGTTCAATGACCTTTGTTGATATTACATTTATTTTTTTATTTCCAATGACTTAACAAATTAGTGTACCGAAGTTGTGAATGGGAAAGACAGGGAGATGCACAGGGACTTGAGGCAATCTTAGCAAAATCGAGTATATAAAGAATAATAGGGGAGTTCCCATATCAAATCACCGTCTCAAGCCATGTCCGGAGTCCGCATCTAGCTCTCTCCTATCTGTGGCTGTTTGATCACAAAAAATGTCGTACTCTTGAATATTTGCGCCTCTGTATTGTGACGTCATATTTACCAGGTAGTCAGTTGCAAGTTTGGTCATAAAAAAATGTTAATCTCTGTTGAGATTCTGCTGGGCTAGATATTTGGACTGACACCCGCATTATCTCTGGACAGCTATTAATATTTCATGTCTGGAAATCAAGTCCCAACTTCGGCCAACTATAGCAAGAATAATTCACCTAAGCCACACAGCTGCTCGCTTCAGTTAAGTCATTTGGTTGTTTATTTGACTCTCTATCACTTTTATTTCGACATTGCTTACCTTTTAGGCATGTAAATCCCAACATAAAAATACTCACTGAAATTTCAGTTTTAAATATGGCTCCTGTAACGAAATTGTTTACCTCCTCAAACAAAAGAGTTCGTATAGTCTGTTTTTACCCTTGGTGAATCTGAACCAATGTCTTCTGTGGCTATTGAACATCAATTAATAGGGTAAAAACAGACTATATAAGAACTCTTTTATTTGAGGAGGTAGACAATTTCGTTACAGGAGCCATATTTAAAACTGAAATTTCAGTGAGTATTTTTATGTATAATACTCGGCCAAAGTCAATGGGACTTGATTTCCAGACATGAAATATTAATGGCTGTCCAGAGATTATGTGGGCGTCAGTCCAAATATCTAGCCCAGCAGAATCTCAACAGAGATTAAAAAATTGTATATAAAAATCAATTATTGTTTAATCTAATGTGTTGGTAAGTTTGTGTGGTGGTCAGCCTGGTTTTATTGTTAGACTAGTCGGTAGAGCACCTAGATTCAGGGGGCCCAGGTTCAAATTTCAGTCTGGTCCGCTGTACTTAAATTTCCTATCCCATTACATTTGGCGCTGTGCCATATTCATATGATGAACTAATTTATGGCAAATTTTTAACCAAAAAGCATCTTATATAGAAATTTATCATTTTTTTTCCATTTCTTTGAAATAATACAAAAAAATCATTTAAAAATAACTAAAAGCTAATTTTCGGCCTTTCAATGCTGAAACTACTGGTTTAGGGATGTCTTAAAGATCTTTGAAATACAATTTTTGTGTGGTATTCCTCCTTTTAATTTAAATTTGTAAGATGTATTCTTCTTCCACAATTCTGGTTTTTTACCTGCTTCCCATACCTTCCAGACCAATTAACCCTAGTATCATGCGACTTATTGAGTACATTGTAATATACAACATGACAAAGAAAAGTTAAATTCCGCAAATTTGACATGTGGAAAAATTTATAGATGCAATAAATTTGAACCAAGTATTTAAACACAAGAAGTTATAGATATACATGTATTAAAGTACTCGAAACATTAGAAAATGAACATCCTAGTTTAAATACCCATGTGTACTAGAGTGAATTCATGTATGTAAATATACTGCTACTAGAACTGTACTAGAATTTTACACCTGACTACCTGTATATGTAGAATGATGTATGGTTAAATCTCCTGTTGTATTTCAGAGACATTTGCCTGGTACCTGCACAGAGACATATAAAAAAAAACTGAAACAGTGAAAAATGAATCTGAGATGCATTATTATTTAATTGATTTCTGTGGAAAAAAACAGGATTTTTACTGTTAACGTGATTATTAGACATTGACTGATCTAGGCATTCTACAGAATCTTTTACAAAATGTCCTGTTTATATATATGAAGTGAGAAACCTGTTTATGATTTTATTTTCTTTTTATGAACTGTAGACTACCTATAGTACATATTTGTAAAACTATAAACAAAGGAAAGAAAATGCAGGTTAATTAAGGTAAGAAAACATTGCATGATGTTACAGCATTTGAAATTAATTTCAAGTTGTTTTTTCTTTGCTATCTTGACAGGAAATTATTTTCTTATTTTTACTTTGGTAACAGCTCTAGCAAAATGTAATCAATGATATTGCACAGACAATAGCATTGGATTACTATTTTCTGCTGAATATTCACACTCAAGTCATGTAAAACAGTTATAAATTATTCTCAGGGATCATATTTTCCCTCTAATTAGACATGTTACGTCAGCCATTTTTTTTTCCCATGCACATAAACAAAATAACATTTGAATTTTCATTTTTTTTTCAGCGTTCCTTAAGAGGAGGTAGATAAAAAATTCAAACAGTAATTAGAAATCGTTACTAATTAGCAATGGCAGCAGTGACAACTCAACAACCTCAGGCCTCGGACCAGAGTGGCCCTGATTCTGTGCTGCTTAAGAGTGGCTCTATTACCATTAGACATTTAAGGAACTCAGAGGAGGACTTCAAATTCTTTGCAAGAGTGTTAGTCGAAGCCTTCGAAGGAAAATTTGTTTATGCTACAAGTAAAGGCAGGTATGTATAAATTCTCTAACTATTTACCTGCACAATGGTAATTCACTATATATTCTTAACTGGGGAAATTTTTTAATACTTTGATTTGTTTTAAAAGTTTACTTTAGAACTCTTTGGTACATTTAGAACCATTATAGTACTTTAGTAGAGAGTACTGTCCAACAGCCCTATTTTTTTTTCATAATATCTTTTATTATTAAATACATATTTATACAATTTCATGTATGTGTGATTTCTGTTCATTGAAAAATTACACTCAAACAAGGCGATATAAACTTTTGAATTTTTGGGATATCTGAGGGATAGAAATATTGAGGCTTTAAAAACATCAAGGAAAAATGGATGTCACATCTTGAAACATCTTGAACAAATCCATGAAATTTCAAGATACCAGTGACCTGGATATCAAAGTTTCACTTTAATTTAAATAAATAAAGAAAATTAAGGTTCAAAAACCCGCTGCTCGCTCATATAAAATGTTGCTTGAACCTTAATGATTTTCCAAAAGAAATGTATTTTATACGTATAATACTGACAAGTATAGCATATCTTGCGGGGCAAAATTGGACAAAAAAGACACTTCAACTTGGCAAATCTATAAAGGAATAATAGACATTAAATATTATGTCATAAAGAGTTATCTCTCTTATCAGAGTATCAATGACCCTTAAGGTCAATAATTTGATTTTAAAAGTTGATCTTTCTATTATATTTTACACAGCCTTCCCGACATGGAACAATACATGGTTAACAGACTGAGAGGGCGACCCCCGCAGTATTACGAGAGAAATCTGGTGGGGGAGTATGAAGGGGAAAGGGCATGTGCTTGTGTCCTGGTTTACAATGGAGATAGTGAACTCTTCCCGTAATATTTTTATTTATTCAAATTTCATTCAGTTTTACAAGACATCAGTCTATTCATTATTAAATAGATTATATTATTATTATTTAATATGAATTATTAACAAAGCAAATATAAAATGAATTAAATAAAGAGTTAATGAAGAGGGGAAAAAATTTATAATATGATGTAAAGAAGGTAAAACTTTGTTTTTAAACAGGGAGAGAGAAGAGGACATGCCCCCACTTGGATGTACAGATATTTGCGGGTGAGGACATTTTTTTTTTTGTAATTTCAGGACCCCCTCCCCCTTTTCCCCTCATATTTCACATTCATTACATTTTAGGTGTCCAACAATATTTTTGCATTTAGAATTTAACAGTCAGAATATCATTTTAGGCTTCTGTGTATGGAATGTGCTTTAGGGGGTGAGAAGGTCCCACCAGGAAAATGCTATTTAGATACCATTGGTGTAGATGCCAAATTTCGGGGAAAGGGTATAGGAAAAGTTATGTTAGATGCAGCTGATGCTGATGCCAAGAGAAGAGGATGCAAGGTTTGATGATTTTTGTTTGGATTTTCATAGACAAAAGGTTTAATTCCTTATAAGCAGAATTTTTAGCGAGGATTTAATTTTGGCATTATTAGCAAGAGTGATGAGATTGCTAAAATTGAATATCGCTAAAAATTAATTTCGCTTTCTTTGTAAAAGATTCTTTAGTGAACTTTTTAAAATCGCTAAAATGACATCACTAAAAATACAATACCAATTTTTAAGGATAAATTGCTAAATTTGTGTCTCTTTAAAATTTCCACTAATACGGTATTCAGATTATGAATTTGAAATACAGGAAGTACTGCTGTATATAATTCATAAATTTACTAGTATTTAATTTTTTGACTTTTAGAGTTTTAATAAAAGAATAAATTTTCATAAGTTTCTAAAGCAATTTTCCATTGAAAATATAATAAATTAAAAAAATTCTCAATGTTTGAATTTATTTAAGCAAACATTTATGACGTTATTTGCTTTCACATCCAAGTCAAAATTTTATGATTATTGCACCTTGTTCTTTTTTGCAGTCAATTTACCTTAAGGTAGCCTCTGACAATCGTGCTAAGCACCTTTATGAGAGACATGGATATGTACTCAAGGATAGAACCTCTCGCTGCTGCTGTATGTGGTGTCAGACAGGGATCAAAGTATGTACACTGTATCTATTGATTGATTGATTGTATATTGTTTAACGTCCCTCTCGAGAATTGTTATATCAAACTCAATAGTGCCATATAAAAAATTGAGAATTTTATTATATAGATAATAGAAGGTAAAATTCTTAAAGGAAATGTGGTTAGGACTTGGAAATCACTTTGACATATCTCTGGTATTTGAGTGATCTGTGTTTGAGATTCTAAAGTTTGACTGTAGTATATTTTCATTTGTAAGAGTTTTCCATTAACCCCCTTCCCCGCAGTTACGCATTTTAACGCATATACCGTTTCCTATTTCTAACGCAAAATCACGCATTTACCTTTTCCCCGCAATCACGCATTTTCACGCACTATAAAAAGTTCATTTAATCTTCAATTTATTGCCAAATTCCAACTATTTTATACTTGCTTAAATCTCATAAAATAAGAAAAGTTATTTTCTAATTAAAGTATTACGTCATAACATTATTTACGCTAAACTTTAGAGAAACTTGTACCCCGCTGTAAAGTGCTTGCGGGGAAATGGTAACGTAATATATCTATGACGCGAGGATTCGGTGTTTGTTGCTAAACAATTCAATAAGTTGAAAAGAGTTAAATAACTCTGTTTGAGCAATGTGTATCTATCACAGTATGCTTATATTGTTTTTCATCAGAAATATTTTATTTAAAAAAAACACTGTTACCCCTCTGAATGCTGAAATTACACCATAAGAATCAACATGATTATCATTACTTGAGAAAATGTAAAATTCTCAAAACTTTGACTATGTAGCAGTTATTTCATTTTTATTTTGTAGGAATTTCTAACAGTGGAAAAGTCATTGGAGTGATATTAAAAACTACTAAGAAGACTCTACTGGTGTCAGGAATTATATCTAATTGATTTCATTTGACTAATTATTAGTAGATATATCCTTTTACATATGTATAATACATGTATGTGTCCTTCTCACTTGTGTACAGTTTATATACATGTATTTATATATTGTATATTTATGTATTCATACATTATTTCTTTTTAGTTTTCTGTTACATGTACTGCAGCATATTTTAAATGAAATTATATTTTTAAAACATTTTACTTTTTCAGGCATAATAATTTTTTTTTTATTTTTGAGAGAGTCATAAAAGTACATGTAATTAATATTTACAGTGAAGATGTGTTAGTGTTTGTTTAAATTTAGGGTTTGTCATAATTATATGACTTAGATATATGAGAATTTTTCTCTGTAACATTCTATAGAAAACTATTAACTCAATTTAGAATTTAATTGTTTGTTATATATACAGTGTAGACTATTTACCTAATCAAAATTTCATCTACTCTTTTGTTTCCTTTTAAAAATTAAAATATATGGCTGTATAGATGATCATTTTACCCTTTACTCAGAATATTTGTACTTCATCCGGTGAAATATTTTATTTGATAAGAAGTAAATGTACAAAAATTCTGTTGAACAGAATGCTAGCATGTTAAAAAGTTTTACAGAGATTTTATCTTTTATATTGTCTTTATATATTTTTTCTAACTATACGTGATCACTTTTATAATACTCTGACAATATACATGTTTATAGAGGCCATGGTTGTAGATGTGCTGTGTCTCTAAATGCTCCTCTTAAAATGAAGTAAATATGATTTTACATTTTATTTTTAAATCACTTGTATTGTTTTTCAGTTTCCTATTTGTTTCCATTCTAACGTATGTTACATTCATGTAGAAATTTGCAAAAAGTAATTATATCCTGCAAAATCAAAATGAAAATAAATTAATTAATAAATAAATTAATTAATGATTATTAATTTATTACATTAAGTTCTGATAGCTTCTGAATTGGAGTTTCAATTAAATTTGCTTTTGAACGAAAAAAGGGGGGGGGGGTTACTAGTGTTTAGTGTTTTGTTAGCTGCAGAAGGGTTGCTCTCTGCTTGAGAAAAAATACGGATAGATAAAGCCCATCAGCTTATCCGTCTCAATTTTCTCAAGCAGAGAGCCATGGTCCTAAAGCTAGTGTTTTGCCTTTGACAAAACCTTTCCAAATGCACTATATTTAAAATGATGACCTTAATTTTAAGCTCACCTGAGCCGAAGGCTCAAGTGAGCTTTTCTGATCACATTTTGTCCGGCGTCCGTCTGTCCGTCCGTCTGTCCGTCTGTCCGTCTGTCTAGCTGTCCGTCTGTCTGTCTGTAAACTTTTCACATTTTCGACTTCTTCTCAAGAACCACTGGGCCAATTTCAACCAAACTTGCCACAAAGTATCCTTGGGTGAAGGGGATTCAAGTTTGTTCAAATGAAGGGCCACGCCCTTATTCAAGGGGAGATAATTGGGAATTAATGAAAATTTAGTGGCATATTTTAAAAATCTTCTTCTCAAGAACCACTGTGCCAGGAAAGATGAAACTTATGGGGAAACATCCTCAGGTAGTGTAGATTCAAGTTTGTTCAAATCATGACCCCCGGGGGTAGGGCGGGGCCAAAATGGCCGACCAAAGTTTTACATAGAAATATATAGGAAATATCTTTAAAAATCTTCTTCCCAAGAATGACAAGGCCATAATTCATCATATTTTTATGGAAGCATGCTCAGGTATTGTAGATTCAAGTTTGTTCAAATCATGACCCCCGGGGGTAGGGCGGGGCCAAAATGGCCGACCAAACTTTTACATAGAGATATATAGGAAAATTCTTTAAAAATCTTCTTCTCAAGAATGACAAGACCATAATTCATCATATTTATATGAAAGCATGCTCGGGTATTGTAGATTCAAGTTTGTTCAAATCATGATCCCCGGGGATAGGGCGGGTCCAAAATGGCCGACCAAACTTTTACATAGAGATAGATAGGAAAATTCTTTAAAAATCTTCTTCTCAAGAATGACAAAGCCATAATTCATCATATTTATATGGGAGCATGCTCAGGTAGTGTAGATTCCAGTTTGTTCAAATCATGACTCCCCGGGGGTAGGGCGGGGCCAAAATGGCCGACCAAAGTTTTATATAGAAATATATAGGAACATTCTTAAAAAATCTTCTTCCCAATAATGACAAGACCATAATTCGTAACATTTATATGGAAGCATGCTCAGGTATTGTAGATTCAAGTTTGTTCAAATCATGACCAAAATGGCCGACCAAACTTTTACATAGAGATATATAGGAAAATTCTTTAAAAATCTTCTTCTCAACAATGACAAAGCCATAATTCATCATATTTATATGGGAGCATGCTCAGGTAGTGTAGATTCCAGTTTGTTCAAATCATGACCCCCCGGGGGTAGGGCGGGGCCAAAATGGCCGACCAAAGTTTTACATAGAAATATATAGGAACATTCTTAAAAAATCTTCTTCCCAATAATGACAAGGCCATAATTCGTAACATTTATATGGAAGCATGCTCAGGTATTGTAGATTCAAGTTTGTTCAAATCATGACCCCGGGGGTAGGCCGGGCCAAAATGGCCGACCAAACTTTTACATAGAAATATAGGAAAATTCTTTAAAAATCTTCTTCTCAAGAATGAAAAAGCCATAATTCATCATATTTATATGGAAGCATGTTCAGGTATTGTAGATTCAAGTTTGTTCAAATCATGACCCCCCGGGGGTAGGGCGGGGCCAAAATGGCCAACCAAACTTTTACATAGAAATATATAGGAAAATTCTTTAAAAATCTTCTTCTCAAGAATGAAAAAGCCATAATTCATCATATTTATATGGAAGTATGCTCAAGTAGTGTAGATTCAAATTTGGTCAAATCATGACCCCCAGGGGTAGGGCGGGGCCAAAATGGCCGACCAAAGTTTTTAAAGATACATGTATATATAGGAAAATTCCTTAAAAATCATTTTCTAAGAAATAGCAAATCCATGATTGGTCATGGGACTACTTTTGGATTTAAACTTTACAATAAAAAGCTATTTTCTACTTTTTCCTACCCTTAGTGCTCAGGTGAGCGATGTGGCCCATGGGCCTCTTGTTTTTAATTCAATTTTAACTTTGACCTTTCATTAACCCCACTGGCCAATCTGTTACTGAATAAAAACATTACTGTAGCCCTTTTCACAAAAAATCTTACGACATATCTTTATCTGAAGTGAAAACTTGACGATAAAAGTCGTTCTCACAAAAATTCTTAAGAAAGTCCCAAGTGCAATATCTATCGTGACTTTACGAGAGCTCAAAACCTCTCTTAAGTATTTTCAAACCGATTTTAATGTTAAAATTCAAAAAACACATTAAATAGAACTTGTTAAAGTAACTTCCAATAATATTTTGTATTTTTTCTTACGCTAATTTTGGAAAAATGACATAAAATACACTTCAAAATATTTACGATTTAAGTTTCATGTAAGATTTTCGTACGACCTACTCTACGTCAGACTTGTGATTGTGATGTCACACTTCCAACTTCTTGCTGAAACTTGTTATTTGTTGTCAATAACGTTTGTTTTTTGCTGATAAATGATGAAAACTGAGCTATTTTTTTACTATCATTTACTAATTTAAGGATTATAATGCATATTGAGAATGTTGATAAGGACATAGTCTATCGTAAGTAAATCTTCAGTTCAATCTGCTACGAATGCCTTCGTGAAAAGCACGTACATGTAAGATTTGTCGTAAGAGATTCGTATGTTAAAATCTTAAGCAAAAACTTCAGATTTGAAAGGTCTTGTCACAATGGTTACATGTGAAGTATAAAAGCCTTACTGTTCAATAGTTATGATCAAGGTTAAAGTGTGTGTGTGTGTGTTTTTTTTTTCCAAACTCAAGTGGTAAAATAGCGTGGTACCCAAAATTAAGTCTTGTCACAAGGAATACATCTGTGAAATATTAAAGCCACAGCCCAATCCTACCTAAAGTTATGGGCAAGGTTAAAGTTTTTGCGTACAAACAGACGGACAGCCTGAGGACAAAATATATACATGTACCCCCGAATCTTCGATTACGGGGACACAAAAACTAACGTAAAAAATTGAAAAGACAAAAAAAAACTTGTACAACTTCTTTAAGAACCAAAATTAAAAAAAAAAAAAATTACAAGATGTGTTTGTGAAACACTGATACCCCCGTATGGCAACATAGAGAAGGTTAAACTTTTCTTATATGCAAGTTTAATATACTGGTATCCAAAGTAGGGTATTCTCACTGGATAAATGTCTGGGTATTTACTGTTCAAAAAAATACAACTGTGAAAGATATGAAAGTAGGCCAAGGTTAAATTTTTTTCAGAAGTACGAAAATCTCCAAGGTTTTGCCACAAAGAATACAATTATGTGAAGTATGGAAGCCCAAGCATTAAACCTTCAAAAGTTATGGCCAAGGTTACCAATTTTAAAAAGTACGTCTAATTCTAAGGACAAGGAACAAGGGCATAATTCTTTATATCAAATGAAAGGCTTTGTCACAAGGATTACATATGTGAAATATAATATCACTAGCACTAAGCGTTCAAAAAGTATGGCCAAGGTTAAAGTTTGTTTCATAAGTACGGAAATATCAAACGTCAAAAGGTCAAGGTCATTGGTATCTTATGAAAGATCTTGCCATAAAAAAAACATATATGAAGTATGGACGCCCTAGCCCTAACTCTTCAAAAGTTATGGTCAATGTTACCAATTTTGAAAAGCAGGTCAAACTCCAAGGTAAAGGTCAAAGGGTTAGATTTGGTGGTGCCCAAAGAACGGTCTTGTCACAAGGATGAAATATGTAAAGTATGAATGCGCTAGCCTAAACCCTTTTAAAGATATGGTCAAGGTTTGCTTTTTAAAAGTAGGTCAAACTCCAAGGTCAAGGGGTCAAAGTTCTTGGTATCCAATGAAGGTTCTTCTCACAAGGATTACATATGTGAGGTATGAAAGTCCTATCCCTTACCGTTCAAAAGATATGACCAAGGAAAAAGTTTTTTCACAAGAACAAAAATTTCCAAGGTCAAAGTCGTTGGTATCCAATGAAAGGTCTGTCTACAATATATATATATATATATATATATATATATATATATATATATATATATATATATATATATATATATATATATATATATATATATATGAAGTATAAATGTCCTGGTATTTACTGTTAAAAAAATA